CCACTCCGCCCCTGGGCGCCCGCCGCTTCCAGCCGCCTGAGGCACCCGCCTCGTGGCCCGGCGTGCGCAACGCCACCACCCTGCCGCCCGCCTGCCCGCAGAACTTGCACGGGGCGCTGCCCGCCATCATGCTGCCTGTGTGGTTCACCGACAACTTGGAGGCAGCCGCCACCTACGTGCAGAACCAGAGCGAGGACTGCCTGTACCTCAACCTCTACGTGCCCACCGAGGACGGTAAGGGCGCGGGCACCAGGTCGGGCACCCAGTGGACACAGCCCACAAACGTTCATGCAGACCCTCAGGCACGGGCACAGCTCCTGGGCTCAGAGCTGGGCCTTTGTGGACGCAGTGAGGGGCAGTGTGTCCCTGCGGCATCTGCACGCCCTCTGAGGATGGTAAGAGTGCCTGCCAGGCAGTCCCAGGCACGCATCCCACAGACAGCCACCCCAGAAGTTCTTTGTGTCCATCTGGTAGCAGGCACCATTCTCTCCCCAAAGAGGAACACAGAGTCAACCAGCTATTCTCAATACGGCCACTAAGTGTGATCAGGTGATCTATCACATGCCTAGACACCTACTCCAACTCTACCCCACTCCTGCCTCCAGGCCTGGGCCTGCCCCTGGCAGAACACCTGCTTTAGCTACACCTACAAGGACAAGTAGTCTCTTCCTTTTACCCTCCCCAGGCCTGCATGGGCCAACTTCCACCTAATCGCATCATGTCTAGAGCCCCTCACCTGAACTGAGTGCCCTTAGCAGTGGTACTCACGTCTTTCTCTTCTCCATGATGTTCTGTTCCCTGACCCCTGTACACCCCTGAAGCACCAGGGAAGCTCCTTGCCAAGGGCTTCTCTACTCACAGCACAGTTCTCCCCTCTTCCCCGGGCTCTTGAACTGCTGTTCTCATTAATGAACTCCTGTTCACTACAGGACTGTTCATAGTCCCCAGCACCCCCGAACAGGTTTCCACCCTACTACTTCAGCACACCAAGATTATTCAGAATACCTCCCAGCATCTACAACAGAGGGTAATAGGTAAATTCCAGCCATCCCAGCCCCCACATTACCCTTCTGACACCCCATCTCACCATTCCAAAACATACCAACACCTGTACAGAGACATCCACTGCTACAAGACACCACACAGGCCTTGTTTCCAGCAATGTCACACATACCTTCACATCAAGTACTCAAGTCCCACCATAGACTATGAATCCCAGCTACTCAACATTCAGATTGTATACCCAACCAACCTATCCACTGTCCATGTGCTCCACCATCCCACAGTTGCAATTCCCAACACCTTCACATAGCATACCCCCCCAATACTTCTCTGAAATTGTATACCTCCATCACTCACACAGACCCAGGTTCCCCAGTATCCCTGGATATAGATCAAGTCCCCTAGTAACACCCACACATACACCTTCTACCCCAGTAGCCCGGCACCTGGACTGTGGGCTTCAGTGGGCCACTCACACCTCAGTCCCCTACACTCACGATATTTCTCAAACATTTACCCCAGCTCCTATCTAGAGATGATCTGCACCATACCTCAGATGGTGACAGCATACTCAGTAACCCTACACACTACTCACAGATCAAGGACTCCAGCAACCAGAATCCTCTCACGTCAATCACAGAACTCTGCACCTCAACACCCCGCCCAACAGTCCATCCTAACCCCTCCCAAACAGGTCATCCACCCTGTATCCCTCATAGCAGCTGTACACCCTGACCTAACTACCCCTCTCCATATAGACTCCACCTCCTAACGACCCATACACACAATGCCCAATATCATCTGTTCTAATCCCATCCAAATTCTAAGCACTCAACTCCCCTATAGACCATTTACCCCAATACATTCCATACATCCTCCCTAATACCTCACTACCCTCCACATGAGAACCATCCACTGCATCCCAGTGCCCTCCCACCCGTGAGTCATTCACCACAGTGTCTCTATACAGACTATCTCAACACTCCCCACTTGTGAACTCTCTACCCCCACACTTTGGCATAGGCTGACCACCTCAGTGCCCCCTACTGGGCTACCTCATTCCCCCCCATGTGAAACATCCACGCAACACTTCCCACTGTGGACTGTCCACCTCAACACCTCCACACAAGTTGCCCACCCCCTGCCCCCACACCACCCCCATGCCCACACGTTCTATATTTTTAAACCATCGCTAATTTGCAGACCTGTTTGGGGCCTGACACATTCAGGTGATCTCACTGAATCTTCACACCAGCTCTGGGAGGAAGAGGTTGACTCAAGCACACACTCACACAAACACACACACATACACTTTGTGTTCTCGTGTGCACGTATGCCCTATTTCATCCCCGCCCTGTTCCCTCGCAAAGAAGAGACTCTTTTCCCAAGGGGTTCCTGTGGGGACCATCACCACCAGTTAGGAGCCTTCCAGAGCTAGCCCAAGCCTTGCAGACCTATCCTTTCTTGTGCTGGTCCCCATACCATTGAGGAAGCAGCTTGGGGAAACCCTTGAGCAACTTCCCTGACCAATCCCCCTAATCTGAAAGAAGCCTTGAGCCAGTCTCAGGGAAAGGTCCCAGACTCCGCCCAGAGACTGGTGTACTTTGTGGCTCCCAGCACCTCCTGGCACCTTGTGTGTCAAACTGGTTCACGGTACTGTGTTTCCTGTTCCCTATTTGTGGACTGAACCCCCCAGGTGGGGAGGGAGTTTTTTGGCAGTGGAGCAGGGGTATGGATGTGGGGGATGGCTGGCGGCCCTGGTGGGAAGTTCACCATTCTGGGGGAGGAGAGGAGGCCTGGGCAAGGGCCGAGGTTGCGGGGAGCTCGGAGGGATGAGTTGGAGTGGAGGGCAAGACCTGATGACCCCTTTCCCTGCTTGGCCCACACTGGGGAGCTGGGGTGAGAAGCCAAGCTTGTGAGTGCGGATGGAAGAGAAATGCTGGCGGTGAGGTTGGGTAGGCGGGCGGGCATGCCTAGCTGACCTTCCTACAGTCTCCCAGTGGGGAGAGGGGGAGTGGAGGGCTTCTGGGGGTGAGCTGTGGGGCAAGCTAGCCCCCAACCCCGTCCTGCCCGCTACCCTCCAGAGTGGTTCAGAGGGAAGCAGACTCCTTCCCGTTGTAGTCTCTCCTCCCTTCAGCCTGGGGTGAGGATGGCAGGCAGGCGCTTGGCTGACCCTGAAGGGAGCCTTCTGAGAGGTGGCCTGGGTAACAAGCTGACCTTGGTCTTCTGGGGCTCCGGGCGGGCTTTCCTTCCCCTCCCACCCCACCTCTAACACTGTTTCATTTCCAGCAATTAGCAAACACACCAACAAGCCAAATCCTTTCCAGCCAAATCAATGTCTTAAGACAGGCCTCAGCCCACTCAGGCACCCCACCCCCCCAAAACCAGCCTTTTCTTTGGGGCATGACTTTTTCCGGGGAGGGGAACAAAATTGGGTTGTAGAAACGTTTTTCTCTTTTCTTGGTTTCTTTTTCTTGCAAAAAAAAATTTTGCTTTTTTTGGCTTATTTTTTCTGCCTCCCCCACCCTCCCCTTTTCTGCTTTCTCTCCTCCCCTCCCCATCCACCACCTCCCCCGACCCCCATCTTTCCCCACAAAATTGTCCTTTTTTCTCTGTTTTGTGTTCCCGGTCTTAGGTCCGCTCACAAAAAAACGTGACGAGGCGACGCTCAATCCGCCAGACACAGGTAGATTTAAAAATCCCGCTGCTGCATGTGGTTGCTTATCAGAGGACGTTTTCATGGCCCTGTCCCTAACTAAATGTCCCCACAGCCCTCAAGGCCCCTCAGTCGTTCTCCCAACTAAAAATGAAAAAGAAAAGAAAAGAAAAATTTTGAATAATTGGAAAAAAGAATTATGAAAACTTCAAATGAAATTTGAGCAATGTTGGACCCACCAGAAAACCTGCAAGAAAAGCTAAACATGGTGAAAATAAGGTGGAAAAACAAGAGAAATTGGAATGTCAGAAAAAAAGAATTGGATAAAATATTTAGAGTTTGAAAGAAAATTGGAGATGGTTTTGAAACTTGTGAAATGTAACATTTGAAAAAACAATTTGAATTTGGAGCAAAACAACACCTGAAAAAAGTTTAAAACTTGGCAAATTGACACAATTGAAACATCAGAAACCTGCTACAATTTCCAAAATCCTGTCAGACACAGAAAATGTAAACATTTGAAGTGAATTAAATAATTTGGAAATTTTTGAAAACAGGGCCCAATGTCTTGAAGTTTCACCACAAAATTTTGAAAAAAAAAATGCAAAGAATTTTTTTCTTTTTTTCTTTTTTTCCAAAATGGATCTTTTTGTTTTTTCTTTTCTTGTGGAATCTGCCCCGAGAGCTTCTTGCTTTTTGGTTGTTGTTTTTTCTTTCTTTCTTTCTTCTTTCTTGATCCTGTTTTTTGTTGTTGGTTTTGAATTCTTGTTGCCCCAGCCCCTCTTCCTGCTCCTTCCCTTTCTGACTCCTCCCCCACCCCACACTGGGAGCGGGGTGGGGTGAGGGTGGGAGAGAACTGAGGACTTTTAGGACAGGACCTTGGAGGGAAGGAGATTCTAGCCTGAAACTGCAGGGTCATTGGAGGTTTAGGACAAAAGGGGGAAGGACAGGATTTGGGGAGGACATAGAGAGGGTGCTGCCCACCTGGGAACTCTGGCTGATGAAGTCAGGAGTGTGGAGACTGCAGAGAAGGTCCAAGAGATGGGAGCAAGGACTTTGTCTCTGGGGGTCAGGGGGGATGTCTTAGTGACTTGCAGGTTGACCTTCTGGCAGGAAGAAAGTTTCTAGCAGATGAGGGAGGTGGGCAGGTGTTGGGGACCAGCTGTGGCGACCCAGGCCTGGTTTTTGTTTGCTGAGCATCCAGGCTAGTCAGGGATGACCGGTGTCAAGAAAGCGGATGGCCTGTGGCCCAGGGGTGACCCCAGCTCCGGCACTGTGACTGAGTCATGGGGGAGCTGCAAGGGAGGGTGCCATAGCCTTGGGGACCCTGACAAGCCCTCTCAGACTCCTACCCTCTTCTGGAATTAGTCATCCCTCTGTCTGGTCTGGAGTGTCTCAAGGGCCTTCTACGTGTGGCAGTGATTAGAGGATGCTTTGGGACATGGGAAGAGAGGGAGTCTAGGGTAGGAGCCAGGGCTCAGGCCAGTTTGTGGGGGTTCAACACTAGAGAGCTGCACCCTGGCTTCATTAAGCAGGCTCTTCCTCCTGCCACAGTAATTAGGCTGGGGGTTGCCATGGTGACTGGGGAGGTGACCTAGAAAGGAATTAGGGCGGGGAGGAGACCAAGCCCCCAGGGACCCTAGGCCTGGCACCCCCTCACCCACAGATCAGGGTACCATGTGGAGTGGAGGCCCAAGGTCTGAGTCAGAGGAGTTGCCAGGACCCTCCCAGCATCTCTAGCTCTCGTTCTAGCCTCGGGAGCTTGCTCTTTCCAGAAGCAGGAAGGAGATTTGCTGTGTGTGTGTGGGAAGGGGGTTCCCTGGATCCAGCAGATGCCCTGAGGAGGGCCACCTCCCACCCCCGGCCTCCATGGGGTTTCTTGGAAGATCTGCCCAGCATTTGGAGAAGTGATGTCGGGCAGGCTGGCAAAGGATGGGGAGGGACCTTCTGCCAGGGCTAGCTGGAGAGGGAGGAGGGGAATCCGGTCTTGCCCCCCAGGGATGGGAGTGACATGTCCCCTGAGCTCCATGCTGGTCCTCAACAGGCCCGGGAGCTAGGCAGTGCTGCTTCCGTTCTGACTGTGTCCTTGTCCCTGACCCCCTGGCCCACCTGCCCATCCCCTCCCCACGCAGATATCCGCGACTCTGGGAAGAAGCCTGTGATGCTCTTTCTACACGGCGGTTCCTACATGGAGGGCACCGGGAATATGTTCGATGGCTCAGTCCTGGCCGCCTATGGCAACGTCATCGTAGCCACGCTCAACTACCGTCTTGGGGTGCTCGGTGAGGGTGGGCAGCTAACTTTGGGGGCAGAGGGAGTCTGGGAGGCAGGCCTGGTGGGCAGGGTTCCTCCAAACCCAGCAGAATGGCCTCTGGGCTGAACTGAGCTGCCCAGGAGACAAGGGTGCTGTGACACCTCCAGAGAGTCCCCTTCTTCTACCTCCCAGGTTTTCTCAGCACCGGGGACCAGGCTGCAAAAGGCAACTATGGGCTCCTGGACCAGATCCAGGCCCTGCGCTGGCTCAGTGAAAACATTGCTCACTTTGGGGGTGACCCTGAACGCATCACCATCTTTGGGTCCGGGGCAGGGGCTTCCTGTGTCAACCTTCTGATCCTCTCCCACCATTCAGAAGGTACCAGCAGTGTCCCCAGCCTGCTCCCCGCTTCCCCTTCCCACAGCCCTGACCCTGCCAGCTCCCCCTTCTCTTTCTGGCTGACGCTCACAGCCTAGCCTGAGGTCTGCCTGTCCTGCCAGGGCTGTTCCAGAAGGCCATTGCCCAGAGTGGCACCGCCATTTCCAGCTGGTCTGTCAACTACCAGCCGCTCAAGTATACGCGGCTGCTGGCAGCCAAGGTGGGCTGTGACCGGGAGGACAGCGCTGAAGCTGTGGAGTGCCTTCGCCGGAAGCCCTCCCGGGAGCTGGTGGACCAGGACGTGCAGCCTGCCCGGTATGGGGGTGGGAGAGGGCCGGGTCTGGGTCTTCAGTCTTCTTGCTGGTTCCAAGGAGGGTGAGATGAGAGGTGCCTGCACACATTCCCTTTGGCAAGGAGAGGTGGCTTCAGGCTCCTCTAGTGGTCTCCTCTTGGAAGACTTCCCTCAGTGGAGGTGCCCGAACAGACCAGGTGAGCACAGGGTGCCACAAAGTGCTTCAGGATGACTTCCAGAGAGTCCAGATGCCCTGAAGGACTCGTAGGAGGTTTTCAAGTAGAAGAAAAGGGTCTTACAAGCAGAGGGAAGCACCTGCATGTGGGCTTAGCAGGCCATGGGTTGAGAAGAGGCCAGTGAGATGATGAGACCCTGACCCCTTTTCCCCAGTTACCACATCGCCTTTGGACCCGTGGTGGACGGCGACGTAGTCCCTGATGACCCTGAGATCCTCATGCAGCAGGGAGAATTCCTCAACTACGACATGCTCATTGGTGTCAACCAGGGAGAGGGCCTCAAGTTCGTGGAGGACTCTGCAGAGAGTGAGGATGGCGTGTCTGCCAGCGCCTTTGACTTCACTGTCTCCAACTTTGTGGACAACCTGTATGGCTACCCAGAGGGCAAGGATGTGCTTCGGGAGACTATCAAGTTTATGTACACAGACTGGGCCGACCGGGACAATGGTGAGATGCGGCGCAAGACCCTGCTGGCACTCTTTACTGACCACCAATGGGTGGCACCAGCTGTGGCCACCGCCAAGCTGCACGCCGACTACCAGTCCCCTGTCTACTTTTACACCTTCTACCACCACTGTCAGGCTGAAGGCCGGCCTGAGTGGGCTGATGCTGCACACGGGGACGAACTACCCTATGTTTTTGGTGTGCCCATGGTGGGCGCCACTGACCTCTTCCCCTGCAACTTCTCCAAGAATGATGTCATGCTCAGCGCTGTGGTCATGACCTACTGGACCAACTTCGCCAAGACTGGGTGAGGGCCAGAGGGGCTGGGTGGGGCCGGGTGGGGCACCCTCCTTCCTTCACACTCAACTTTCCTCCATTAAGACACTCAACCCTTGCCAACCCTCTTATTTGAGTGAGACCAACTCAGACACCTGCTGAACACCTTCTCTGTGCCAGACATTGAGTTGAATGTTGAAAATTCAGCAGCGTCAGACAGAAAGGTCCCTGTCCTTTCTGAGGTGGGCTCACTCAATGACTTTGGCTTGGTGTCCATTTCTCCTTACTCCCTTGCTTCCTGTCCCTGCCCCCGTGCTCCACACCTCTGATCACTCAGGTGTGTGTGAGTAGTGTAAGGGTTCGTGTCTGTTTCTTGCTTTCTGTCTCTGTCTCTGTCTCTTGAAATCCACTGATAGCACTCCCCTTCCCTCTGTGCTCTTTGGTCTGTTTACTTTTTGTTGTCTCTGGCTGTTGGCTGGTTTCAGCCTGGCTGTTTCTCTGCCTCTGGCTGCCCCTCCTGTGTCTTTGTCTCTCTGTTTCTGTCTCTATCTCACTCAGGCTCAGTTTCTGCCTCTCCCTGGTCATCTCTTTGTCTGTCTGTGCCCCTCTGTCCTCACTTCTGGTTGTCTCTGGCAGTCTATATCTACATTCCTATTTGTCTCTCTGTCCCTATCTCTTGTAGTTTCTCTGTCTCTTTGTATACATCTGTGTCTCTCTGCCCCTGTGAATTTTGCTCTGGCTTTCCTGCCATCTCGCAGTCTTTCTGCATCTCCATTCTCTCCCCCCCCACTTCTGCCTACCCTGCTGCGGAGCCTTGCCCTCACTCCTTTCCCTGCTCTCCTGTACCCACAGTGACCCCAACCAGCCAGTGCCGCAGGATACCAAGTTCATCCACACCAAGCCCAACCGCTTTGAGGAGGTGGTGTGGAGCAAGTTCAACAGCAAGGAGAAGCAGTACTTGCACATTGGCTTGAAGCCACGCGTGCGTGACAACTACCGTGCCAACAAGGTGGCCTTCTGGCTGGAGCTCGTGCCCCATCTGCACAACCTGCACACAGAGCTCTTTACCACCACCACGCGCCTGCCTCCCTATGCCACACGCTGGCCGCCTCGCCCACCGCCCGGCGCCCCGGGTACACGCCGGCCCCCGCCACCTGCCACCCTGCCCCCTGAGCCTGAGCCTGAACCAGGCCCAAGGGCCTACGACCGCTTCCCTGGAGACTCACGGGACTACTCCACAGAGCTAAGCGTCACTGTGGCCGTGGGGGCCTCCCTCCTCTTCCTCAACATCCTGGCCTTTGCTGCCCTCTACTACAAGCGGGACCGGCGGCAGGAGCTGCGATGCAGGCGGCTTAGCCCACCTGGTGGCTCAGGCTCTGGTGTGCCCGGTGGGGGCCCCCTGCTCCCTGCTGCAGGCCGTGAGCTGCCACCAGAGGAGGAGCTGGTGTCACTGCAGCTGAAGCGGGGTGGTGGTGTCGGGGCGGACCCTGCTGAGGCCCTGCGCCCTGCCTGCCCGCCCGACTACACCCTGGCCCTGCGCCGGGCACCGGACGATGTGCCTCTCTTGGGCCCCGGGGCCCTGACCCTGCTGCCCAGTGGCCTGGGGCCACCACCACCCCCACCACCCCCCTCCCTCCATCCCTTTGGGCCCTTTCCCCCTCCTCCCCCCACTGCTACCAGCCACAACAACACGCTACCCCACCCCCACTCCACTACTCGGGTATAGGGGGCGGCTTGGGGAGGCCCTCCTCCCCGACCCTCCCCCGCCCAGCCACTCCAAAGGCAGGGAGGAGGACTTGGCAGCAGGCTTTTCTCCTGTGGAGTTGTCACGCGTCATCGAGCAGCATTAAGTTGGACACAGGATTCCTCACTGGGATGCGTGTTTTTCCCATGCAGAGAGGCCCGTTCACTTCTCCGGACCTGGGCCTTTGAACAACTGGGGGTGTTTTTTCCCCTCCACTGGGACACCAGTCTTCGGTGTGTGGAAATGTGGAAGTATTTTCCCACGTGGAGGTGTGCTTTCTCACAAGGGGGTGTGTTTTCCCATGTGCAGGGTGAGGTTTTTTTTGCCGCCCTGGACACATGTTGGCCCCCTCAAAGAATTTTGTGGGGATTTGTACCCCAGAATCCTGTTCCCTCATGCCTTCTCCCACCTCCTCCCCTCTCCCTCCCCCTGGAGACCCTGGAAGTGGTGTGTTCACATACAGTGACCCTTGACCACCAGACAACACAGGGTGGTGCCTGGGAAGCTTTGAGGAAATCACAGCCCCACCTCACCCCTGCCCTCCCACCTCCTCCCCCACCCTTGCACCCCAGCAAAGCATGTTTTTCCCTCGTGGCACAAGTCAGATGAAGCACGTTTTCCCAGGGAGGCTCTTACCTTCCACAGAGGACAGTCAGATTTCCTACTGGGGGGAAGGGAGGAGATCCATGCATCCTGGTGCTACCTGGAAACTAAATTTCCCATGGTCCAGGACGTTTCACTGAGTGGGAACATGTTCTTGCATGTGGATGTGCGTTTTCCCAGGCAGAGGGTCCCTCTCTCCCTAACACTCCCCTGCGTCCCCCAGGCTTCAGGCCCAGCACTCAGTTACTCCTCACATAGCAAGTGGGAAGAAACTTCCAGTTGACAGGAGCTGAGGGGGATGTACAAACTCTGAGGGAGTGCTCAGCCCTCCCTTCCTCAGAGATGCTGAGTTGAGGGGAGGGGGTGTGTGGCATGTGCCACTCACAGAGGCCATGCATGTTTGACCAAAGCCCTCATCCGGGGTCTGAGGATAGCCTTTCCCTCAGGCCTCAGATCATTGCTCATCTGTGCCAAACTGGGTAGGTGGATTTGAGGAGAAAGACCCCCAAAATGTGCCAAGGATTCCCTATTCCCAGGGCAGGGCAGGGGAAGCTGGGGGCAAGTGGGATACAGGGTGAAGGATATGGCAGGTTAGGGGGCTCCTGCCTGTGTCTCCTCTCCTCACTGTGTCATCTCCCCTCCCTGCCTCAGTTCCCCATTCTCCTTCATCTGCCTCCCTCTTTGGAGCTGTCCCCATCTCAGTGTCAGACCAGCCTTTTTCCCTCAGCTGACAATGCCCGCTTCTTTGGCCTCCCTCACCCCTGCCCCCAGCTTGGCTGAAGGAAAGGAGCAGTGGAGGATGGAGGGAGGCAGCAGAGAGAAAGGTCTCACTGGACAGATTGGGGAGAATGAGGTCAGCTGTGCTGAGGAACAGATGGAGGGGGCAGTGGGGGACAGGGGACACGGCTTGAGCAGCACCGACAGGAAGAATTTGAAACGTGTGAGGGGCCTGCCCAGAGGTCCTAGGGTTCTATTCCCCAGAGTCAGATACAAGGACCTCTGGGGAATAGAACAATGTCAGAAGGATTTTGAGGAATGTGAATGGAGGAGGGGAGCATCCTTATCTGCTGGCATTGTGTGGGCTGTTAGTGCCAAACTTGAGGAGGGCGTGGGGTGCTGTCTTCCACTGACACCCAAATCCAAAATCCCTGGTCTTGAGTCCCTAGAACTTTGCCTCTTTACGCCCTTCTCCTACCTCCATCCATGGAAACTTAGTTTTCTGACCCTTTCCCCTGCCTGGTCTAGTTCCCTTCCAAACAGCCATGCCCTCCAAATGCTAGAGACCTGGGCCCTGAACCCTGTAGACAGATGCCCCCAGAATTGGGGCATGGGAGGGGGGCTGGGGGACCCCATGATTCAGCCACGGACTCCAATGCCCAGCCCCTCTCCCCAGAACAATCCCCTGACAGTCCCATGTCCCTACCCCAACCCTTTGCGGCTCTGTACACATTTTTAAACCTGGCAAAAGATGAAGAGAATATTGTAAATATAAAAGTTTAACTGTTGCTTGTGCCTGCTGTGTTGTGGGGTGGGGGGTGGGGAACTCCAAAGAAACAAACCTTGGGGAGATAACTGGATGAAGAAGGAGGGAGTGCTATCCCACAGCCCTTCTTTTCAGTGAACAGCACTGAGGTCTGAGAGGAAGGAGTGGGTGCCAGGGTCAGGTTGCCATGGTAATGGAACTGTGTGGAGAGTGAAGATCAGGGCCCATGTCTGTGCAGAGATGGGAGCCTAATGTCCTAGGAGGGGCAGGAGCTGATAGGGTGGATGCCAAACAGGCCACAGGGCCAATGGACTGGTCCCTGCAGCTGGCTACAGGAGAGACATGCAAGGTGAAGGGTTTGGCCTCTGCCAGGGCCTGAGCTCAAGCTGGAGGGTCAACCATGGGCCCAGGACTCAGAGTAGTCTCTTGACACATTGTGAGGGATTACCCCAGCAGCATTGTGACCCGCTAATCCTCAGGACCCACAGAGACAGGAAGATGGCTCAGTGGACACTGTAGGCACACAGTGGGCTGGGGGCCTAAGGGCCCCAGTGGCCCTAAGGACCCCCATGGCCATGGCTGAGCGGCCGCGGCCCGGGTGGGCCTCGTATCACAACCCCAACACCAACAGCTGCCAGGACCTGGGCAACTCCATCCTGCTGCTGCTGGGTCTCATTATCTGCATTAACATTGGCATCAATATGGTGACCCTGGTCAGGATGGGACTGGGTGGGAGGGTGCTGGTGGGATGGTTGGAGGTGGGCCTGGTGGCCAGGACCTGCCTGCCATCATGATGTCCTCCCCTCACCTAGCTCTGGAACCGACTCCGTGGCATCTTGCACCATATGTTCCATCATATCATTTGTGAGAAAGGTAAGCAGAGTTGGAGATTGGGGCATAGGAGGAGCAGAAACCAGGTGTTCTAGTCCCAGCCCTAAGCTAGCCCCTTCCCTTCCTGCTCTCCCCACTCAGACACCATAGCTGTGCAGCTTCTCTCCCTGAGCCCTCTCCATTCCTGTAAAAGCTAGACTCCCCTGACCCACAAAAGCACCTTTCACCTCTCCCTGACTCACAGAAGCGCCTAAGCCAACCTCACCCAGGAAGGAGTCCCAGCCCTCAAAGAAGGAGAACTCCCCTGCCATCCATCTTCGATGCACCATGGACCCTGTGAAAATGACTGTGACCCCCCCACCTACTCGCCACCATCGACATCGAGGCTCTCTGTCACGCTATGCCCGCCGCCCAGTAGCTCGGACCCCTGATACTGATGACGAGAAGCCCCAACATCAATACGCAGCAGTCTGCTCCCACCGCCAGAATGGCCCTGAGGACTGGGAAGACTTCCGACCCACCCAGGGAACCTGGGATCTCTGGACTCGGGACCCTCCAGAGATGCCTCCCCAGACCATCCGCTTCCAGCCCACTGTAGAGGGAAGGCCTCTCAAAACAGAGATGCGGTCAGAGCTAAGCCTAGAGGCCTACGTGTATCCTGTGAATCCTCCACCTCCCAGCCCTGAGGCCCCAAGCTATAAGAACAGTGAGGTGGGGGCGGCCACAGAGGCAGAGGCAGCTCAGTGCCAGCCCGCCCCCCAACCTGTCATAGGCCCAGCAGCTGTCCCTGATTTCACCAAGCGCCGCTCCTCAGGCAGAATAGTGTATGATGCCCGGGATGTGAGGCGGCGGCTTCGAGAACTGACCCGGGAGGTGGAGGTTCTGTCCCGCTGTTACCCCCTGACCTCTGGATCCAGTATTGCTAATGGGACAAGCAAGAACTGGCTGTACCATTCCCTGACCGAGAAGTGACTGAAAAAAAATAAAAAGGAGAGAGGAGGTGGTCTGTGGTGGTGTTTGGGGATGCCAGATTGTGAAGAGAATGGTCTCCTTGGCAACAGGACCCTGAGAATCCTGAAGACTCTCATCAACCTCTTGCCCCAAAGACCTTATACTCAGCCCTTTACTAGGCTCTTCTTGGTTCCAAGGCTCCCACCTGCCTCTATGTTGTTTCTTTAGTGCCCAGAGAAGCTTCCAAATTCCACGCCAGATCCCTGAGCCATCCTGCACTAGAGGAGAGCTCTCCATCCCCATGACCCTGGCTCCTCAGAGGCCTGGTCCCTACCGGAGCCCAGGTTTAGGCTACAGCCACAGGTGTGGTGTGGTTCCCACTTAAACCAGTTTTCTTTGGGAAGGGATGACTGAGAGGGCATCTGGCCCCCTCACAATTCCCCAGTCAACCTGAAGCTCCTGTATCCTCAAGCATGCTTGGGGTAGAAGATGAAATAGGGCTTCATCTCAAGGGCTGCCTCATCATAACACCATAGTCCTCTGAGACCTCACTCCTCTGATTAGCCTACCACTCCACAAATGAGGAGACTGGGGTTTAGAGAGGCCAAGTGACTTGCTCATGGTTACACAATCACCAAGGATCAAGGTCATGGTCTCAGACACTCCATTCTCATACTCCTGCAGGTAGATTCCCATTGCCACTGAGTCAGCCTGGCCCACTAGAACTGTAGAACTGCCCCCCCCCTCAGTTTGCCATGTGAACTCATTAGAATATTCCATACACTGGGCAGGGAAGCTCAGATCCTGCCCTTCTTCTAGACAGTTGGGATCACATGTACGTGGACACAAAACAACTTGGGAGTGAGGAGCCATGTGAGTGGGCACAGACTGAAGGAGTTGAACTTCACCTTCCATGCTAGACAGACTCCTGGAATAGGCACAGACTGACCTTTTGTGAATCACTCTACTTCTCTGTTCATTTACATTCAACCAATGTTATTGATCATTTTTTTTTTTTTTTTTTTTTTTTGAGTTGGAGTCTCACTCTGTCGCCCAGACTGGAGTGCAGTGGCCGCTCCCGGTCACCGCAGCCTCGACATGCTGGGCTCCGGTGATCCTTCCGCCTCAGCCTTCCAAGTAGCCGGAATTACAGGCATGAGCTACCACGCCCGGCTGATTTTTTGATTTATTGTAGAGATGAGGTCTCGCTGCCCAGGCGGGTCTTGAACCCATGGGCTCAGGCAATCCACTCACCTCAGCCTCCCAAAGGCACGGGATTACAGGCTGAGCCACTGAGCCCGGCTTGTTATTGATCATTTTAAGTTGATTCCGTTCAGTGGAGATATACTGAGCATCTACTATGTGTTTCGAGGCTGGATGGGAAAAGCCCACTGGGCTCTCCTCTATTTCTGCTATGTCATTCACTGTGTAAACCAATGGCTTGCAGTCCCCAGGGCACCACTTTCACAGACCCCAGTGATGAACCTGGTTTAAATCAGACTCCTTTTGTCATACGAACAATTACATCTACTTTGTGCTTTGTTAATTTCGTGTGGTGTTTTGTTTTGTTCTTTTGAGTTGGAGCCAGCCTCTGTCGCTCAGGCTGGAGTGCAGTGGCATTCTCACAGCCACCACAGCCTCAGCCTTCCAACCTGCTGGGCTCAGGCAATCCTTCTGCCTCAGCCTTTCAAATAGCTGGAACTCTATAGGCACGTGCCACCATGCCAGGTTAATTTTTTTTATTGATTTATTGTAGAGATGAGGTCTCGCCAAGTTGTCCAGACTGGTCTCCGCCCATGGGCTCAGGCAATCCTCTCACCTCAGCCTCCCAAAGTGCTAAGATTAAAACCGTGAGCCACCGCACCCAGCCTCATATGGTTTTCTTAAAGTGGCAACTTAATGGTTTTTCAACTTGAATTGAGGGTGGGTCAATGGAAGGGCAAGTGGTTCTTGGTCATTGACAGGGGCAATAAACTTGGCAAAGTGGCAGTCAGTCTGGTTTTGAAGGGAAGGGGCCACTGGCCTCAGGGACCACCAATGCCTAGGGCTGCAGTCCCTGGCCAGGAAAGGTTGAGCAGAGATGGGTGCTAGAGGAACTGTGCTAGGATTGATACAGCAGGGTGATGCCCTAGGGGACTCTTGGTGTTACCCACCTATCCAGTCACCCTTGCTCTTGGTCTCAAAGTAGGCATGGGGTGGGGCACACCAACAGGCTACATAGACTGCCATAATGCCTCAAAAGAACAATGAAACAGAGGAAATACTTTATGCATGAGTCAACCCCCGTGAAGACTGTCTCATACTGTAACTATGATATTTTCCTATCAGGAACCAGGTGTGGGGTTAAATAAGCCTCATGGAGATAGAGGAACAGACTGAGCTCTGGGGTATCTGGGGACTGAGCTCTTTCAAGTGGGAGCTGCCAATAGGCATGGCCACTTAAAGGGGTCAGCAGAGTGGATAAAAGATTGCCACCTCTGCATTGTGACTCCCCCTAATTGGCCTTATTATGACCTGGCTCCCTTATCAGCTGGTAGGTATCTCCAGATACTTGTATGAGTGCAGTATGGGTTGGGACCGGGGGGGTGGGAGGGACGTGGCCCTGGTGGCCCCAGAGCCCTCCCCCCCATGGAAAACCAGCTATGGCAGAATACCCAGGGCTGCTGCCATCAATACCAAGAAAATCCCCAGGATGTTGAGGACCTCTTACTCCTGCTGCTGGGCCTCATCATTCTTGTCAACATCAGCATCAACATTACAACTGTGGTCAGTGATAATAATGGACCATCCCTAGGGGTGAAGAGGGCCGAAGGTGGGAGCCAGCCACAGCCTGCACCTCCACCTGCAGGTGCTGGCCTGACTGGGGTGGGAGTGGGGTTGGAGAGCCTGGCCTTACCCCTATCCCAACCCCGCTCCAGATGTGGCATGGGCTCCAGAACGTCTTGGACAAGATGATCGACTGTACTAATCAGAAAAGTAAGTATGGCCACTGGAGAGGTAGGGGAGACCCCCACATAGGCCCCAGTATTTCCAGTCTTGAACTCTTTTGACGATTGCCCTAACCTCATGGACTCTTGCCTCCCCTAGATGAAGTTCAGACTAGTGAAAGTTCCCCCAAAGATCCCCCAGCCAAGGCCCAGGACGTCCACATCCACTGCAAACTGGACCCTGTACAGCTGAAGATGGCCCAACCCACACGCTACTCCTCTTTCTCCTGCCACCATCTCCGCAACCACCATCGCCACCACCCCTGTCGCCGCCGTTTTCGCCACTGCAGCCGCCAGCAGCGGCTGCAGAAACACAGACAACACCCCCACAGCCACTCAGCCTTCCGTAACCAACATCACAGGCACAAGATGTCACAGCTGCAGCCAATACCTTTCTTTGATCAGGAGGACCCGGAGGAGGAGGATGACCTGTCATTGCCATATCCCAAGTACCCACGTGGCGGCTGGGGTGGGCTCTATCGGCGAGTGGGTCCGCCCTCCAACGTGGGGCTGTGGGGCCTTCAGGGTGGAATCCTAGCCAGCCTGCCGCCACCCTCTCTCTACCTGTCACCAGAGCTGCGCCGCATGCCCAAGCGCGTGGAGGCCAAGTCTGAGCTGAGGCTGCAGTCCTACAGGCCCCATTATCCACAGTCCCGAACCTGGGGTAATGTGGAGGAAGAACAGTGGGCCCAGTCTCCACCACCTCCCCGCCGGCTGCCCCCTAACCCCACCTTGGTCCCTGGGGGGTACAGCCCTTACTCCTCAGTAGGCCGGATACTGTATGACTCCTGGGATCAGCGGCGGCGTGTTGTGGAGGGCTCTGAGCCCCCACCTGCCTTGGTGTCCCGGAACTCCCGGTCTGAGGCCCAGGGCTACCGGGAACACTACTCCCCACAGTCCCACCGGCGTAGCCTGCCCGGTCATGCTCACAGTCAGTCCAACCGCAGCCCCCACCCGTCTGTGGGACACTTGGGCTATTGCTCCCGGGAACCCCAGGAAGCACGGCGCCGGGCAGCTGACTGGGCTGAGGCTCTGCCCGTTCGGCATCCTCTGACTACCTCTGTCTCCCTCACGGTGCTGGGTGAGACCTCACACCAAAGGGTCCCAGCTCCCAGCCCAGTCCTGCTGCCTCACTCCTCCCAGCCCCTGCCTGAAGCCCAGGCTGCTGATCCTGCCCCACCTCCAACCACTTTCATCCCACTCAGCCGGAATCCAGGGGGCAATGCCAATTACCAGCTGTATGATAGCCTAGAGCTGAAGCGGCAGGTGCAAGAGGGCAGAGTGCGTGCCAACTCACTGCCACCGCCTTCCACCTCAGCCTCGAGGCCCTCTCTGCACAGGAGCCGGACTGGGAAACTCAACTGACCAGTGGGCAAATATGGGTGGTGGAGCAGGGCATGGAGGGAGAAATAAAGAGAAACAGTACAGGAAACACTGTAGTGGTCTTTGGCTTGGAAGCGCCACTCTTTCTGCCAGTGTGGGTCCCAGCCCTTGGCTTCTTGAAATGAGAAACCAGTGACCCTTTCTTGATGTGAGGCTCCCCTTGGCTTAAAGGGTCATACTCCTGCCAACAGGCCCCTCCTGGTACTGCACTAAGTAGATCTTGCAGCAGCTGACTCCAGACCACCAATCTCTGACCACACACCCTGGCCCTCCACTCTCCCTGTTACCAAAGTGATCTGAATATTCTGACCTCAGTTTATTTTTAAATTTGCATTTATTTGTTTGTTTGTTTGAGTTGGAGTCTCACTATGTCGCCCAAGCTGGAGTGCTGTGGCACACTCACAGTCACCCCAGCATCGACCTGCTGGGATCCAGTGATCCTTCCGCCTCAGTCTTCCAAGTAGCTGGAACTACAGGCGCACGTTACCGCACCCGGTTAATTTTTGATTTATTGTAGAGACGAGGTCTCACAAAGTTATCCGAGCTGGTCTCAAACCCTCGGGCTGAGGCAATCCACTTGCCTCAGCCTCCCAAAGTGCTGGGATGACAGGCTGAGCCACCAAGCCCGGCCTATTTCTTTTCTTTTGAATCAGAGTCTCACTTCGTCACCCAGGCTGGAGTGCAGTGGCACCATGATGGCTCACTGCAACCTCGACCTCCTGGCTCAAGCAATCCTCTTGCCTCAGCCTCCCAAGTAACTGGGACTTCAGGCACGTGTCACTACCCCCAGTTAATTATTTTATTTTTGTAAAGATGAGGTCTTGCTATGTTACCTAGGCTGGTCTCAAACTCCTGGGCTCAAGCAATCCTCCAGTCTCAGCCTCCCAAAATGCTGGGATTATAGGCATGAGCCACTGTGTCTGGCGTGACCCAGGCTGGGCCTGTGAGTCCTGTTTGGGATCTACTTAGTGCCTGGTACAGGACCAGGCCAAGACTCTGAACTCCAGCCAGGCCTCCCCTTAAATCCTTTTATTTAAAGATTCTCAAATGAGATTGAAGGAATGATGGAATGAGTATGTATTTCAGTGCGTGAATCAGTGAGCAGTAGGGGGAAAATTGAGAGAGAGGGGAGGTGTGTGGGCTTCCAGATCCTGCTTGGCTGTCTATGCTCAAGTTACTCAAACCCGGTTAACCAGGGAACCTCACCTTGGGCCCTCTTCTTCCTCTGCTTCCCTCATTGTGACCCCAACCACCTGCCTCATTATGACTCAGTCCTTCTCCCCCTCCCCCACTACAAGAGTCTGGCTCCTAGTATGTGGGGGCCAGGGGGCCCAGGTAGTCCTGGGACCCCAGGCGATGGGTGAGCGAGCCCACTATAGAGCCCAAGTGTGCTCTGGCACCAACCCCAGGAAGTGCCAGGACTTAGGAGACTCGATTCTTCTGATTCTGGGCAGCTTCATCTTACTCAACGTGGGGATCAATGTGGTGACTCTGGTCAGGACAGGGTCTGGGCACAGGATTAGGGGGGTTTGGGGGTCTCAAAGGGACGGAGGTGGGAGGGTTGCTGGGTTGTGGTCAGACAAGGATTGGACTTGAGGGCTCACTCTACTTCCAAACTCCCCTCCCTGATTCCCTCAGCTCTGGAAGCATCTGAAGAGTTCCTTGAGGATCCTTTTTCATCATTTTTTCCCCAAAGGTGAGTGGGCCCTGACATGGGTTCCCAGGGATGTGGGCTTGCCCCTTTCTTTTATCTCTATCCCAATTCTCAGGCCTAAGAAACTCAGGCCTTGCTGCATCCCACCTCTCCCTGCAGACGAGCAACCCAGCGGTATAGGCAGCCATCCTGTGTGCATGTGTTGCTCTGTGGATCCCAAGAACCTGTGCTCTAAAGTCTCTTCCCGCTTCCATCATCACTCAAGCTTCCTGCTCAGGCACACTAACCACTTTGACTCCTGGATACCAGACACAAAGGATAAGAAGGTTTCTAGGTGCTGGTGGGTGCCACCTGAACATGGACATGCCAAGGCTCCCACAGAGGCTCCATGGGGACTGTGGAAGGAGGGGATGATGGGAGCTGGGGAGACCCATCAGGTCACAGCCTTAAACGCCCAAGCCTCCTTGCTCTCCAGGCCAGAGACATCGTCCCAATTCCCAAAGATGGGCATGTCGGACATGATTCCACTTCACTTGCCCCAAGAAAGCAAGACTAAGACTGCAGACTCGGCCCCAGCCAAGGCCCCGGCTCAGGACCAGACCCATTCCCCAGCCCACACCCAGACCCACTCTCCATCCCACAACCAAGCCCACACACCAGCCCCTACGCTAGCCCACAGACAAGCCCACGCACCACCCCCTACACCAGCCCACTGCCAAGCTCACGCACCAGCTCCTACCCCAGCCCACAGCCAAATCCATGCACCAGCCCCTACCCCAGCCCACAGCCAAACCCATGCACCAGCCCCTACCCCAGCCCACAGCCAAATTCATGCACCAGCCCCTAGCCCAGCCCACAGCCAAGCCCATGCACCAGCCCCTACCCCAACCCACAACCAAGCGCACGTACCAGGCCCTACCCCAGTTCACAGTCAGACCCACACACCAGCCCCTATCCCAGTCCATGCCCAAGTCCACTCTTCAGGCTCTACCATATCCCAGGCCCTGGCCCACACCTCAGCCCAAGTTCAGACCCACTCTCAGCCCCACACCTCTGAACACACCCACTGCAAGGCCCACAGTCCTAAGTACACCTCAACTCATCCCTCAGCCCACTCCCCAGTCCAGGCTCCTGCACATACTCCAGCCCACTCCCAGACCAATGCCCCTAAGCCCATATCAGCTCATGCTCCATCATATATTCCAGACCATAGTCATCTAATCCAAATCCCAGGCCCTCCCCTAACTTTTTCCCCAGCTGCTACTCCTGTCCTAGCTCCTAGATCAGCCCCTGTCCCAGTCTCTGCCCCTACACCGGCCCCAGTTCTGGCCATGGCCCCGACCTCCACTCCAGTCCCCGTTCCTGTCCCTGTTACCACCTCTACCCCTATCTTAACTCCTATTCCCTCTACCCTGCCTGCCTTCAGTCATAGCCTCCCCACTGGCTATACAGTCTATGATGCCCGCAGGGCAAAGCAGAACTTCTTCTGTGTGCGCACTCCCCGGGACTCTAGGTATTCCAGAAAGGACTTGGGTACCCTCTCCAAGCCCCAGGAAGGTCAGGGCTTGAGGAGCCCTGGTACATCTGAGCAAGCATCAAAGCAATGCAGTGGAGACAGTGCCAAGTCTTCTGAAGGATCCAGACTGGGCTATCTGGAGCAGAGAAATGTGAAATGGAAAATCTCAGATGATGACAAAGACAAATGCTCCCAGACCAAGACCTTCCCTTATTGCAGCTTCCATCCTTGCAGCTCTGAGAAGAACATAGACTCCCAGGCTCCAGTCTACCCCAAGTTCTTGGTGTACTCCCAGGGTACTGCATCTTCCAAACCTTGCCTTCATTCTCCAACCACGGCCGGAAAATCATTATGCACCCTTCCTCTACCGTGCACTCTTTCCCTGCCACTTGTTCCTCCCAGATCCTTTGTCCTTCCTCAACCCACCAACCACCAGAAGCTTCCCAAGTCTCCTCAGTCTGTCTTTTCTTCCCAATTCCCTTCCCCTCCCCAGTTCTCCCCCATTTCCCAACCTCTGATCCAACCTCAATGTCCTGAACTTCATAAGAGTCTAGGCCTTACCCAAGACCCTGGCCTTCAAAGTAAGCCATGCCCTTCAAAAGACTCCAGAATTCCCAGGAACCCAGGACTTATCCAAAATCCAGGCCTCCACAAGAACCCAGGCCTTAATCAAGATCCAGGCCTCCCCAAGAACCCAGGCCTTAATCAAGATCCACGCCTCCATAAGAACCCAGGTTTGGCTCAAGATCCAGGCCTACACAAGTTCCCAGGTCTTACCCAAGATCCCAATCTCTGCAAGAATCCAAGTTCTTCTCAAGAATCTGGTCTTCACAGGAATTCAGGTGTTACTCAAGATTCTGGTCCCCAAAAGAACCCAGGTACTTTTAAGAGCCCAAGTCTCACCCAACCTTCTGGCCTCCACAAGAATACACCATTTACCCAAACTTCTGACCTTCAGGGGAGTTCAGGCTTTATGCAAGACTCTGGAGTATGTAAGAATCTTGAGCAAAACCAAAAGACTGTAATCTACAAAAGTCAAGAACCCTCCCAAGCAACTGGCCGCCAAAAGAAGGCAGGCCTTTCTCAAGATTCTGGAGGTTGCAAGAATACAGGCAATGTCCAAGATCCAAGTGTCTATAGGACCCTAGGCCTTACACAAGATTCTGGATCACAGAAGGGCCTATACCTTGCCCAAGACTCTGAAGTCAACAACAACCCTGGACTTATGCAGGAATCTTGTCTCCACAAAAGACCAGGCCTTGTCCAAATCTCTGGACTCCCAAAGTGCTCAGGCCTTACCCAAGATTCAGGTGACTACAAGAATCCAGGCCTTACCCAGGATTGTGGTGTATACGAAGTCCCAGGCCTTACTCAAGATCCCAATCTCCACAAGAATCCCAGCCTTACCCAAGCCACTAAAGATGAAAGATTTATCCCTACTCAGGATGTTGGAGTTTACAGGTGCCCAGAACATAACCAAGACCCTAATCGCCGCAAGTGCCCAGGAATTAATCAAGATCCTGGCCCCCATAAAACTCCAGCCCTTTCCCAAGATTCTGGCTGCCCCAAGATATCAGGGCTTACCCAGGAATCTGGCCTCCACAAGGACTCATGTCTCATCCCAGATTCTGGCCCCCGCAAGGACCCAAGACTTGCTCTAGGTACTAATTCTGTCCAAGTCTCCTGCCCACTTCAGATGCCCAAGACAACAATGTCCCTGATGAAGTCGTTTGTGTCTGAGAAGGCTGCTCAGAAGGAGGATGCAGAGCAGCATGTATCCAGAACTCCTGTCCCATTCAATCAGAACTCTTGCCCTTCCAGAGCCCAGGTGATCTCCAACAACCTGAAAACCTTCTCAGAGGTACCTGTACTGATTGAGCTGCAGCCATGCTCCCGGAGGACAGGTACCCAAGACTGGGTATACCGTCCTGTGGATGTAGTTCCTTCAGGCTGCCAGAACTATTGTCAGATATCCATGCCTCCCAAAATCAACTGGAAGTACCACTGTCCTGGACCAGGCACCCAGGCAGGGCATGTGGTTTTTGATGGCTGCCAGAGACAGCTGGCAGTGGTCAGGGACAAGTGTGAAGCTCTGTCTCCCAGGCACCTTCACCAAGAGGCATCCAGAGACTCAGGGGAAACCAACAAAGAGTGGGGATATCAGAATGTGATGAGGACCTTGGACAAAGAAGGCACAAAGGTGCATAAGGAATAAAGAGGAGAGTGAAGTTTTCTGTGGTTGTTTGAGAATGTCCACCCCAGCCCATCCCTGTGCCGGCCACCCACAGGGCCTGATGAGATCGGGAATTATCATGTCCCTGCTCCTCCTCCACAGCTGAATAGCTAAGCCCATTATCCTCAAAGCCCAAGTGCTGTATTGACTGATACAGTAGACACTAGCCAAATGTGACTATTAAAATGTAAATTCAGCCGGGCTCGGTGGCTCAGCCTGTAATCCCACGCCTTTGGGAGGCTGAGGTGAGTGGATCGCCTGAGCCCTCGGGTTC